ACACCCAGAAGGTGTGAGTTTGATTCCCGTGTAGGAGCTTGTATTTGTTGTTGTTGTTGTTGTTGTTGTTGTTGTTGTTGTCATCGTTGCTGTTGTTAAAATTGAGTAACTCCCCCTGTTTAGGACTTTGTATCCACCTCAGCTAGGGTTGCTCTAACTGGCGGGCTCGCAACTGCATTTCTTTGAAATGATCTGAATTGTGTCGATGATAGCGTAAAATATCTACGATTATAATCTATTTATTACTCACTTGCTCTCTCTCTCTCTCTCTCTCTCTCTTCCCTCCCTCTCTCCCTCCCTGTCACCCTCTCTCTCTCCCCTCCCATCCACCCCCTCACCCCCTCTCCCCCTTTCACTTCCACTCTAACATGCACACACTCACTCCCGTACTGGCGAACACGAATGGCATACAGCCACCACCATATTCTATCGACCATGACCTTTCCGGTGATAAGTGCACCCTGGGCGTTCATTATGTAGTTACTCACCCGCATGCCTACATGAGAATGTCCCCACGTGAACTGCCTGAATTGTGGGGCTGTCCAGGAAAGTGACCGCTGGTCATTCACCTTGCTGGTAGCGCTGGTGTACGGGCAGGCAAGGTCGGACGCGCGCACATTCACGAGCATTACACACGCCCGCACACAAACGCGTACACACTATTTATTAATTTAAACACAACCAATGCTCATTATAATATTATACTTCCGAGCATTCTGTCTATCTATCAGTAAATCAATCTATATAATATACCTCTGTCTCTCTTCTCATTTTGTTTCTCTCTTTCGTTCTTTTCCTTTCTCTCTCTCTCTCTCTCTCTCTCTCTCTCTCTCTCTCTTTCTCTCTATCTCTCTCTCTTTCTCTCTCTCTCTCTCTCACTCCTTTCCTCCTTTCTTTCCTTCTTTCATTTCTTTAAACAGTCGTTCTCCCCATGCACATCAACTCACATTTGCATGAATGGCTTATTTTATGGTCCCCTCACAGGTACAGAGATAAACGCCCTCGTACTCACAGTAACAACACCCACACATAGGAATCTTAAAGATTTATTGCATTCATTACTTGCAGGAGGAATGTCATGAGGATGAGCAAATCCTATTCCAACCCCCTCCTCTTTACTGCCTGTCTGTCTGTCTGTCTGTCTGTCTGTCTGTCTCTCCCTCTCTCCCTCTCTCTCTCTCTCTCTCTCTCT